AGAATACACAAATGCAAAACAAAAAATACTCATCAGCAATGGTAGCTTACAAAAGTCTGCAAAATCAGGCCTAGAAATACTGGAGGAAGAAAATTAGACCTGGGAGACCTTACAATGAAAGAATTTGCTTCCCATCAAAATAAGGGATTCAAGCAGAGCATAGAAACTGGAATTCCTTGCTTCAGCAGAGACATTAGTCTTTCACTCTTGAACTGAAACACCACTGGTTATCTTGTCTACAAGAGAGAGTTGCAGCATGACTATTGGGGCTTGGCTGCCTGTAAACTGCAATTCTGAGGGATCAGTATTTGTGTACTTAACCACAGACAAAAACTGAAAAATAAAAGCATACAAAATGATCTTTCTCTGAAAGTCAGTTGTGCTCACACACCAAGGATAGGAAGTCATTAAATAAAAACTTTGAGCACCCTGGGAGGCAGAGGCAGGCAGATCCCTGAGTTCGAGGCCAGCCTGGTCTACAAGAGTGAGTTCCAGGACAGCCTCCAAAACAATACAGAGAATCCCTGTCTCGAACCCTCCCCCCAAAAAAACTTTTGAGCACCCATTCAGAGTGTGAGAAACCAGACATTGGCATTTTTGTAAAAAACTGAAAACAGCACTTGTTTTCTCCTAGATAACTGGGTGTGTGACAGGATCTCACTTGTGCGTCTGGCTCACTTCCCTGCTTCCTGGGTGTGTTTGTACACCTTGCACACATGCCAGTATTTTATATAGTTCCCTCATGTCTTCAATGTGTCCAAGCTAAAAAGACAGCATCAGAAAGTTATTTCCATTTGTCCCTGTAAACCTGACAGTGTAGTCATGTTTCCGAAGCTACTGCCATTCAAGGGAGAGAGATCAAGATGCTGTTGGAATTTTATTTTTTTTAAAAAATCCAGAATGGATGAAAAGAACAATCATCAAGGATACAGTTGCCAGACACAGGCCAACCAAGAGGGTAGCTAGAAAAATACGCCTTAGGACCAAGAGAGACTTCATCCCTCTCCTGTCTCTTTAAGCTATAGCTAACACAGCTGCTATCCACTGACCTAGCGTCTGCACCTACAAACCATGGCACAGGCAGCTCAGTCGTGTAAGGCCTCAGTTGAAGGACCACCCCATATACACATTCTTTATAGTAGTACTCTTGGCCAAAAAGGATCTACAGGTGGTCTTACTGCATTTCACTGCATGTGAAATGGGTTTCATACCTAGAAACACGGCCGTTTCAGCACAACCTGGATATACCTTAATAATGATTGGTGTACAGCCCCATCCCACCCCTTTACATGCGGCTGAAAATAACAGGCTAGTGACAGAACAGTATGAACCTGCCACTGCTGAATTTATTACCCATTAAATGAGCTAATTGTCACTAAACATATATTAAGGAAATTATACATAGAATACTGCAAAAACACAGTAAAAAGACTGAAGTTTGCCCCTTTTCTGCTCAGGAAGCCCCTTTACTCCCAAGCTTCATGTGTGTTGTCCTCTTCTGGCTCAACAACGCACTGTCATGGTTACTGTTTCTCCTCCTTCTGATCTTCCTTCTGCTCCCCAGTACTAGAACCCCCAGAACCTTCCCGTTCGGATGCCATCTGTTGAGAAAATATTTGAGAATCACTAAGATTTCACATTACGCCTAATAGTTTTTCTGTTCAACACACCTCATCTTGTATTTATCGTTCCCTCCCCAGCCTTGTACACCCTTGGTATTCCCACACCTTGCCCTGTAACATTCTATTCTCGATACTCCCAATTCCACAAATGGTTATTATGGAGGGAACACCAGTACCTTTTTATATGCCATTTCAAAGAGTTTCAAAGACGCCTGCTGAAGTGAAGATGCTGCCTGTCTAATGTTTTCTCCTGTTTCACTGTCCTTTCGAGCAAGGAGTTCTCTCATTTTAGAAATCTCTTCCTTTAGCTTGTTGCACTGTAAAAGGCAAAAACAAAACTTTTTCTAGGTCTTCTGTCTCATTACACGTAGTTCACCATTCAACTTTTAAAACTTATGCCTACCTACCTCTACCCTTTATTCATATTCTTAAAAAACAAAATTCAATGAATTGGTGAATAGTCTATTGGATTGTTTCAAATAACTTACCTCATCAGCAGGTAACTGATCCTTGAATTCTTCCATCTTGGTTTCTGTGTCATGAATAATTCCTTCAGCCATATTAACTGCTTCAACGCGTTCCTTAGAAAAATTGTAAGTTTAACGTAAAGGACTTTCCAATCAACAAAAGTTTCATTAACTTGTAAAGCAAGTGAGACACTTAAGTTAACAGTAAAACTAGAATGACTAATCAGAAGTACTTGAGGTGCCCTGAGAAAGAGTTGAACTGGCTTTTGTGGCAATTTTGATTGTGGAAGACTATCAAACATTCTAAATCCAGCATATGCCCGTAATCCCACCAGGTACTAAGGAGGCTAAGAAATGCCAGGGTTGTGGAGTCATCCTGACTGTGTAATCTCACATTAACAAATTATAAACTAAGGTAAAGGGATGACATAAAATGAGAAACTTAAGTTCAGTGACCTGCCCAAAGTCTACCGTCAGCTTTAACAAGTCCAGCAGAGGCAATCACCTTCTTTCTCCGGTCTTCCTCTGCATACTTCTCTGCATTCTTAACCATGTTTTCAATGTCATCTTTGCTTAATCCACCAGAAGACTGGATTACAACTGGAGTTAATTAAAATAATTGTTAGTTCTCTCCCTTTACTGCTCTGAAAAATAACATACTAGACATTGTGCACATCTTCAGTCCTTGTTGACTCAGGAAGCAGACAACTCTGACTTTAAAGCCAGTCACAGCTACAAGGTAAGAAAGAACCAGCTGAGCCCCTCCCCAACTATTCTGAATGATTCAAATTATGAACATTAAGCCAGGCAGTAGTGGCCCACGCCTTTAATCCCAGCACTTGATCTACAAGACCTAGTCTACGAGAGCTAGTTCCAGGACAGCCTCCAAAGCCAAAGAGAAACCCTGCCTCGAAGAAAAAAATTGTATGAACATTAATCATGGTCTTAAAGTAAATTGTATAAACCGACCAAGTAGTCTTCCTCTTACTGAAACTTCAACAATCCATAAGGTCAAGCTTGCCTGGTTACCCACTCCTAATGTTAACTTATAAAAATTAGATTTGTCCCAGCATTTGGAAAGAAGCATAGAGATCTCATTTTTTGAGGTCAGCCTGGTCTACGAAGTAAGTTCTAGGCCAATTAGTGGTGCCAAGTGAGATCTGTCTCAAAACAAAAACCCAGAAATTCACTTCTGTAACAATAAAAGTGGCAGTTATCCTTAAAATATAGATGTTCAGTGCTTAAAAGCACTTGTTTTTGCAGAGGACCTGAGTTCAAATTCACAGCATCCACATGGCAAATCACAACTGTTCCAGTTTCAGGGCATCAGACATGAGGAATACATGCAAGCAAAACAGCCCACACATAATTCTAACCAGAGCCAGCTACCTCTGATACCTAGAAAAAGGGCAGTGTGGTAGCAACCTTCCTAGGGGAGAAGAGGCATACAAATCCAGGTAACCAAATCCAGGGCATCATAGATGCGAGAAGGTACTCTACTACTAGACTAAGTCCTCAGCCCCATACCTGATTCCCACAGAAAGTGAATACCTACTCTGTTGCTCACGCCCTGTTCCTTTATCTTTAGCAGAAACGTGTACGATCCCATTGGCATCAATGTCAAATGTAACTTCAATTTGAGGAACTCCACGAGGAGCTGGGGGAATTCCAATCTAAAAAAAAATATCCAGAGTTAAGTTCCTTTCATAGGCCCTGTGTTCCCATTCCAAAACAGGCCAGTCAACTACCTGCTTCCTAAAACAAGTGGTATCTTCCCTTAATGTGCAAAAACTTGAAACTTTAGATGGTGGTAATAGTTTTAGTGCTTTCTGAAGTCAATTGGGCTTCAAGGAGTAAATAACCATGAGGGAACTTCTCGACTGTAGCAATGCTGACCCAAAACAATAGCTCTCACGTGTTTTCCAAATGAGTAATCATGACACAATCTCTCAGCATTACTTGTGAATCTGAACATCTCCCTGGCTTTCATAACCTCAAAGTTCTAAAAGCATAAAGTACTTTCAAGTAAAAACTGAACTTGCAGGGTTTAACTCACCTATGCAAACAGTATAGACTGGGTAGATGAACCCAGGTTCAATTCCCAGCACCCACATGGCAGCTAAGTGTAAGTCCAATTCCAGGGGATCTGTCACCCTCTTCTGACCTTAAAAGGTACTGTGTGTGCTTGGTGCATAGACATACAGGCAAACAAAAACACCCATACAATAAAAAAAAAAAAACCTCAAAAGACGAAGTGCTAAGAAAATAACAGTATGCGTATATGTGCAGTTTGGAGACTTTAGAATACTGTTAACTGTGCAAGCTATAGGACCAATAAGCATGTTCAGATTCAAAATACCCACCAAAGTAAACTGTCCTAGAAGTTTGTTGTCTCCAGCCATCTCTCGCTCTCCCTGACACACCTTAATCTCTACTTGCGTTTGTCCATCAGCAGCGGTAGAAAATACCTAGGAAGAAAACTTCCTTAGTTGGTAATCCGATTGAACTACACCCATTATACAGAAAAAAGGCTAACGACAGAAATTTACATTCTAATACCGAATGGTGCCTATTGTACATTACTCAGAACAAAGGGGTGTATAAAAGGGCACACAACGGCTATTGTTTCAGCTAAACAAGTATGTTGTACAAGATGAAGCTTTAGGCTTTAAAGTTTAAGGCATCGCCGGCATTGGTGGCGCACGCCTTTAATCCCAGCACTCGGGAGGCAGAGGCAGGCAGATCTCTGTGAGTTCGAGGCCAGCCTGGTCTACAGAGTGAGTTCCAGGACAGTCTCCAAAACAATACAGAGAAACCCTGTCTTGAAAAACAAAAAAACAAATAAACAAAAAAGTTTAAGGCATCAAAATGAGGATTTAAAATACTGGTTTGCCAGTTCAGGGATGTACCATGTGCTCAGTCATAAGAAGTCATCACATACATGTTTCAGAATGATGTGTTGACAAATACATCACTGCACAAAACACAAAAACTCAAAATAAATAAAAATGGAGTGGCTATACTCACACTTAAAATGTCAGTTAGGGAAAATGGGTCTTACCTGGCTCTTTTTGGTGGGAATAGTGGTGTTCCTGTTAATGAGTTTGGTGAAGACACCTCCCAGAGTCTCAATGCCCAGAGAGAGGGGAGTGACATCCAGGAGTAGCACATCTGTGACATCACCCGCCAGCACACCTCCCTGAATGGCGGCTCCAATGGCTACAGCTTCATCAGGGTTAACAGCTTTACTTGGGGCTCTGCCAAAAAGATCTTGCACAGTCTGCTGAACCTATGCACCAAGAAAAAGAACATGTTAGTCAGCACGCAGAGCACCACTGGAGTGACATAAACACCAAGATGCTGTGAGGTCGAAAGTTAGATGGACTCAGATCCAAGAATGCGGACTTCTTGTTCAGGTTTGACATGAGCAAGCTTTATATGTGAAACATGAATATGTTTTACAGAGCATGGCATTCACTGTCCACTTACAAAAGCATTTGCTTCAATTATCTGGCTTTCCAGACTACATTAATCACTTGAAACAAGGCACAAGGCAAGGGTTTATAAATACAGTCTAGATATTCTACATAATCAAAGACCAATTTGAAGGAAAAAGTTATCAATTCTGTGACTGAAATGAGGGATGGTGTGTGTTTGTGTGTTGAGACAGGGTTTCTCTGTGGCTTAGGAGGCTGTCCTGGCACTCTGTAGACCAGGCTGGCTTTGAACTCAGAGATCCGCCTGCCTTGCCTCCTAGATGTTGAGATTAAAGGTGTGTGCCACCACCATTCAGGTGAGTTAACAAAATACATAGCATCTTGGGATAATCTGTTAATATCAATGTGTCCTCCAGAATCAGAGTCCTAGGTCTAAATTTATGCTAGGCCCATTTCCTAATATCCTGGTGTTTCAGCAGAGAAACAAAATCATCCACAAACAATACAAACAACCACCAAAAGTAGTAATGACATCATTAACTAGGTACACAATAATTGTATCCAGCCACTAAGAACAACTGCATCTTCAACAGTCTGTGCTCAGTTATTACTTCTCTACACATCTGTTTTCAGAATGATGTGTTGATTAATAAAATGCATCACTGCACAAATCTTTGTTGAAGTGCAAGTAGTCCCAAGTACTATGCTGGGAAGATGTGCCCAAAACACCACCCAGGGAATGACTACGATCAAGGCTTTACAGCACTCTCTTATGAGACTGGGTTTAAGACTCTCCCTGCTTCCTGTTCCACCATCTTTTAATTAAAATAACAAAGGTTTTCTGGGGTGGGGGATGATGACAGGTTGTCACTCTGTAGCTTGCCAAGTCTTCCTGCCTTAGCCTTTCCAGTGCTGACATTACAGAAGTGAGCCACTACATCCAACTAAGAGCACTTTTTGTGAGGCCAGTCTCATCCTCCTTTCAAGTAACTTGGTAGAATGGATCATATTCATGTCCACACACATAATCTACCTGTCCCAGCCGGGCGTTGGTGGCGCACGCCTTTAACCCCAGCACTCAAGAGGCAGAGGCAGGCAGATCTCTGTGCATTCGAGGCCACCTGGTCTACAGAGCGAGTTCCAGTACAGCCTTCAAAACAATACAGAGAAACCCTGTTTGGAAAAACAAACAAAAACCCACCTGTCCCAAGAAAGCATTATGTATTGACTCCTCTTTCCCCATTAAGGGTTGAATACCACGAGTCCATACCTTGGGCATCCTCGTCATGCCGCCCACCAGAATCACTTCTCCTATGTCACTCTTGCTGACTTCCGCATCTTGCATAGCTTTCTGGCATGGAGCAATAGTCCTCTTGATCAGGTCTGTGACAATGCCTTCAAACTGAGCTCGAGTCAGCTTCATATTCAAATGCTTGGGTCCAGAAGCATCCATTGTCAGATATGGCAAATTGATGTCAGTCTACACAGAAAATATTATACACACACGTCAGTAGAGTCCAATCTTTAATATTCCAATCAAGGTTATAAGTCAATAACCTAGGAAAGGACTTAGGAACCACAGTTTTACTAAATTCCTAAAATGCAGTGGAAATACACTGGAATCTATTGTAATGGGGTCTATTCATATTAACAATGAAGACAGGTGCAGACAAGCTAAAAAACAAATTATCATGTGACAGATGTGTAGTGGGAAAAAAGATCATTAAGAACCATACAGCCTGTGGGGTTGTGTTTCACACTGGCTTTAAAAAACATCCCGTGTCTGCTCAGTAGTGCTTGCTGTTTTGGTGGAGGACTTGAGCTAAATTCCAGCCCCTACATACTTCTAGTTTGGGGAAGCTGGTATTATTCTAGCTTCCATTGGTGCTGGCACTCGCCTTCTTCCATCCTCATCACATACATAAAATAAGATCATAAAGAAATCCCATGTGCATAAATGAAAACGCTCTCAATCATCAGATGGTGGCTACATACACCTCTAATCCCAGCACTTGGAAGTCAGAGGCAGGTAGATTTCCAAGAGTCCACCCTGGTCTTCAAAGAGAGAAGAGGAGAGGGAAGAGAGAGAAAGGGGAGAGGGAGGAGAGAGTGTGTTCGTGCACATACATGTGTAACCAGAAACAAAAAGAATGTTCTCCATCAACATCTTAACATATCAAGTCTAACGTCCAGGGAATTAGAGAGCGTTACAAATGTTCTTACTAGAAAAAAAGCAGAGGGGCTGGGTGTTGGTGGCTCATGCCTTTAATCCCAGCACTGGGGAAGCAGAGGCAGGTAGATCCCTGTGAGTTCGAGGCCAGCCTGGTCTACAGAGCAAGTTCCAGTGCAGCCTCCAAAACAATACAGAGAAACCCTGTCTCAAAAAAAAAAAAAAAAAAAAAAAAAAAAAAGAAGAAGAAGAAGAAGGAAGCAGAGGGGCTGGAGAGATGGCTCCGAGGTTACGAACACTAACTGTTCTTCCAGAGGTCCTCAGTTCAATTCCCAGCAACTACATGGTGGCTCATAACCATGTGTAAGATCTGATGCCCCTCTGGCCTGCAGTTATACATACGGGGAGAACACTGTATAATAAATAAATCTTTTTTTGGTTTTTCGAGACAGGGTTTCTCTGTGCAGTAGTCCTGGCTGTCCTGGAACTCGCTCTGTAGACCAGGCTGGTCTCGAACTCACAGAGATCCGCCTGCCTCTGCCTCCCAAGTGCTGGGATTAAAGGCGTGCGCCACCAACGCCCGGCAGTAAATAAATCTTAAAAAAAAAAAAAAAAAAAAAGCAGAACCAATGCACACTGGATGTGGTGGTGTTGTCTGTAACCTGAGCCCCCAGGAACCACAGTCAGAAAATCACACATTCTGTCATCTTCAGCTAAGAAAACCCTGTCTCAAAAGACAAAAGCAAGGACAAACAAGTGTGTGTATTACCTAATGTATGTGCGTTTACTGCACAAGTGCAGGCGCACAGAAACCAGATGAGGACGTCAACTGGAGACACAGCCAAGTGCTGCTTTGTGTAGGTGCTGGGACCCAAGGAGAAAAACAACAAAAATACCTGCTCTCAATGAACAATCTCCTTCCAAGCACCTCAAAATATCCTATCCTTAATATGCTGCATGTTACCACCTTTGCCTCGAAGTTTCTATTTAATGTACAGTCCTCACTATTCAGTAGTATGTAAACCTCACAAGTCTAAGAGGAAGCTACCACTCAGCTTTTTTTTTTTTAAGTGAAATAATTCATCTAAAATCACACAGCTAAGAACCTTGAGTAGAGCTAGAGAGATGCTTCAGTGGTTAAGAACACAAGTTGCTTTAAGGCGGGTGTGGTGACAGCACTCAGGAGGCAGAGGTAGGCTGATCTCTGAGGCTACCAGCCAGTGCTACACAAAGAAAACAAAACAATAAATACTGGCTGCTTTTGCAGAAGACCAGAGTAAGATAGTCACATATATATAACCTACCTCTTCCTTTCCCCGTATCAAATTCTGAGACTTGTATACTTAGCTCTCTACTGGCAATTCCACATACCCTAAACCACAACCCTAAACATAAGTCACGTAAGTTCTGTCAGTCAGCAGACAAAATGACATCAATACCCAACGGTAGATACCAAAGGTAGATTTCTTTTCATAGCTCAGTTCCTAGGATGGTAATTCAATGTATTAGACAGAGAACTAGCAATTCGTATAATCCACAAAGTATACATTAATTTTTCCAGATTAGTAACTCTTCACACTGCTTTTATTAATGCCTTGCCTTTTTTGGAGAACAATGAGATCTATATTGTCCTGGGATTATGGGCACCACCAGGGATTGTTAAATCAATGTTTGGGGGTGGGTGGGGGACATAGAGCATGGGCCTAGCAGGTGTTGAGACCCTGGGTTCAATCACTGGCCCCAAAGAAATGAAAGCCACTGTTTCCTGTAAGAATCATGCCATGCAGCACAAGCTGACTGGAGCCCCCTGGGCACCCATGCTTGCTCTGCTTACACTCTAGCCTCAACCACACCAGTCTTTCCTCCTTTTTCAGTGCTGGGATGTAACTCAAAAGACTTTACCTATGTTAGCCAAGTCCTCTACCCCTCTATCTCCCGCTCTACAATCCCCATCTTGTTGTAGTGGCTGGTGTACGCCTTTAATCCCAGCACTCGGGAGGCAGAGGCAAGGGGATCCATGAGTTCCAGGCCAGACTGGTCTACAGAGCGAGTTCCAGGGCAGGCTTCAAAGCTACATAGAAACACCCTGTCTGGGGGGAAGGGGGAAGAGAAGAAAAACCAAAAAGAAAACAGGAAAGAAAAAAAACACAACCTTCACTCATTTAAAAGAACGGATCATCACATTGTTCCTTTGCTCAAGGTTTTTAGCAAGTAGAAAACTGTAAAGAAGCGACACTGACATGAGGTGAATTAGAATATGCTATCCAAATAAGCTTAGGCTAAAAGTATCCACCAGAACTGCTGGGATCTGTCCATGTCTCACCTGCACAGAGGAGGAGAGTTCACACTTGGCCTTCTCAGCAGCTTCTCGAA